TCCGAAGCGAGGCCCAGCGGCTTGCAGCCATCGTGCCTCGCCTGCCCCCCCGCTGCTGCCACCGCGCCGAGCAGCAGCGAGGCAGTTCATATAGCGTTCCCTGCGCATGCGCAGGGGACGCTCTGTTACTTTTGGGGGGATTTAAATATCCCCCCGATATTCCCCCCCCTTTTCAGATTTTTGTGCACACCTGGGGACTGCCCCAAGTGTGCACGAAAATCTCCCTCCCCCCCCAGGTGCCCCCGATGCGCGGATTTATGTATCCGCACGCAGGGGGCACCTTTCACTATTAGATATATAGATAGGCGTGGCTATGTTAGCCCGGGAATGTTTAAAAGGAGCCTAGCTCCCTATGTTAAACCGTTCTGGTTATTAACTGCGTTTGAGTGCTTGTTCGTTCCTTTATTAAAGCTGAATCACTTGCTGAAATCACTCTCTGAGTCTTTGTTAGTGCGATCTAACATAAAACGTTTTAAAACACAATTTACATTTAAAAATACAATATGACATTGCATAATACAACTCTAGTAAAAACCAGATGCTGGTTTAATTATATTTCAATTTTTGTTTGGAGATCTTTAAAAATTTAGGATCTCAAAGGTCCCAGGCTACTGAATGGAGGAAACCCAAGGAGGAGGGGGACGCCCGCTGCCTCAACCAAAGCTCCGGCGGAAGAGCTCCGTCTTGCAGGCCCTGCAGAATTGTAATAAATACCACAGGGCCCTGATCTCACGGAAGGACCCAACCTCTCCCTCCTCTCTGGAGAAAAAGAGGCAACAACAGTTCATAGACAGACATCAACACAAGGAGCCTGCTCCCCCGGCCCTGTGACATTTTAGGCAGGTGGAGCAAGGCGACACCTCACCCAGTATTGAATCATAAGCTGATTTAAGTTTCTGGTACTCATTGTGCAAGGGGAAAAAATACTGATTGTACCTTCATGGAAGTATTATAGTTTCTCAAACAACAGTTCTTTCATATACACAACACAGACAGTAACCCAGTGTCAGAGTCGTATTAAGAGTAGTTAAAGTGCTGGATTAGGACTGGCGAGAGCCGAGTTCAAATCATCCTTTGCAAAGAAATGTCCTGGATGACCTTAGTTGTTGTGAAAATAAAAAGGGGGAAGGCAGAACCATTTATATTGCCCTGAGCCTCTTGGAGGAATCAACAATTTAAAAAACAAACCAAGTTGGGGTTTCAAAAGCAGTCTGGGATGTGAACAGGTGTTTTGCCATTCAAAGGGTAGAAACTCAAGCACTCCATTGGGTGCATCCAAGCCCTTGGTGTCCCTGAAGTTCTTTAGAATCACAGTTGCTTATGATGTGTTGGGTCCAGTGTTCCCTCTAAGCTGAGTTAGTGTGAGCTAGCTCCCAGGTTTTTAGCCTCCGGCTTACACATTTTTGTCTTAGCTCAGGAAGGATGGCTCCAGAGCAAACTAATTTATGCAATAGCCAAATCGCTTGCTCGCAACTTTAATGCCAGTAGCTCACAAAGTAGCATTTTTGCTCACAAGACTCCACAGTTTAGAGGGAGCATTGGTTGGGTCCTGTTTATTTACTTCGTTTATACCCTGCCTTTCGTCCTAGTAGAGGCCCAAAATGATTTACATTGTTCTCCTTTCCTCCATTTTATACTCACAACAACCCTGTGAGGTAGGTTAGACTGAGAGCTGAGAGGCCCAAGTTAGCTCAGCAAGCTTCCATGGCAGAGTGGGGATTTGAACTCAGGTATCCAAGATCCTGATAGCACCAACAGAAGCTCCAGCAGAGATGGCTCTTCCTTGCCTTCTCCTTCCTTCAACAGCCACCTGTGAGTGCCCCAGATGTGATGCCAAGTTTTGGGGGACCCACTTGGATTAAAATGGCATGGCTGACTACAGGAAGGAAACGGAAATGGGCAAAACTGCCCACCTTGTCTCTTGTATCAGTAGAACTTCTTGCACCTGAGGAAGGATTCTTGCATTGTGGGAAGGGATGCCTAGGAACCAAAAAGCCCAAAACACCATAAGAAATGTAAACAAAATGTAGGGATGTTTTTTTCCTTTGTGGTGAGTATGTAGTAAAGTCGAAAAATACTGGCTGATGATTCAAATGATATTACAAGAAATGACAGAGGTAAAAGTACCGCTCAAGCCAGAATTAAATAAATAAATCCTACTCAATATAATTCCAGATATCTATAAGAAGTTGCATAGATATCTGATTCTACATGTCATAGCCACGGCTAGAATCCTATACGCCAAGTACTGAAAATCAGAAAAGGGCAGAATTTGTGCAGAAGTTACTCGAAATAGCCAAAATGGATAAGTTAACAATAAGTTAACAATATTGTTACAAGGGGAAGGGGAAGAAGTATTTGAAAATTTGTGGCCAAATGTATATAAGTGGATTGGTGAAACTTCTAAAAAGTGTGAGTAATTTAATTTGAATTAAGTTGTATGGCTTGATAAGTTAAATGTTGGAAGATTCTCTTGTATTTAAGACATGCTTTCAGCTTTTGTTATGGATTTTTGGAAAATCTTTAAAATAAAGCATTAAAAAAACACCATAAGAACATTAAAAGAACCCTGCTGGATCAGACCAGTGGTCCATCTAGTCCAGCATCATGTCTTACACAGTGGCCAACCAGTTACTCAGGAGGGCCAACAACAGATGGAGGCCTTCCTCTGATGTTACCTCCTGGTACTCGTATTTAGAGGTTTCCTTCCTCTGAACGTAATAGGTTCCCTTTAGTCACCAGCTAGTAGTCACTGATAGACCTGGTCACCATAAGTTGGCTGCAAGCTGACAACAAAAAATAAAATAAAAAATGGCCATGACCGCTACTAAACCCTCGCAGTGAATTCAACACTGTAATTGCTTGTAATGTAAAGAAGTATTTCTTTTAGTCTGTCCTGAATCTACTGTCCATCAACTTCATTGGCTTCCCTTGAGTCCTAATATTTTTGGGAGAGGGAGAAAAAATTCTCTCTGTCCACTCTTTCTACCCCGTGTATCTATATATATAATAGGCAAGCATGGGTCAATCTGTAGATATCTAAATATGTGGATTGGGCCCATATTGACAGAAAGGAGATTTTTCTCCAACCTTGGGAGACCCCCTCAGATTTGTAGGAAAATTTTAAATTATATTGGGGGGGGTTCTCAGTCCCTCAAAAACAGTTACTTATCTGAGCAGCCAACATGTTTGCTCCCAGGGGCCCTGCTACCAATGCAGCGGCTCCCAAGATCCCTGCTGCCAACTAAGTGGCTCCTGGAGGGCCTTGCCACCAACGTGGCAGCTCTCTGAGCAAGCACAACCCCAGCGGCCCAAGAGAAGATCAAGGTAAGAGGAGGAGAGAAAGAGAGAGGGGAGGGATATTGTCAGAGAAGTGGAGAGGGGAGAAAGAGAAGGAGAAATTTGACAGAAATTGAGGGGGAGATTGCCAGAGAAGGAAAGGGAGGGAAAAGAGTGGTGGAAGCTTGTTAGAGAAGCATGGAGAGGGAAGGAAGCAAAGGCAAGGAAATGCACGTTCCCTGCAAGTTTCTTGTGGGTCTTCACTTGTAATTTTATAAACCAGTATCATGTCCCCCTTCTCCCACTGAGTGGAGGACATCTTGTTGGGTGTTTCCAACCCCTTCCTTAGGGAGGCAGGAACAAAACTTCACTTCCTGCCCTCTAGGTGGCTATGCTCCTTAGTTCCAGTTTCGTTCCTGCCTCTAAAGGGAGCGCAGCACTTCGTCAGCACTCGTGCTTTTTCCTTCAAAAAACCTTGCTACCTAGCCATTTTTCTACTTCTTTTCTCTCATTTTTTTTCTCTTATTGTATCCTCATCTTCTCCCTGCCCAATCTCTATATTCGCATCACCTCTACCTCAATCTCCTCCTCTATTTCCTCCTACCGACGCTCCAGCTGGGGCATGTCGGATCGGGAAGACTCGGACGGTTTCTTTTCCGACTCGGAACGGGGAGACGTCCTTATGCCGGCACAAGAAGAGCTCCGGAGAGGGAGAGAGGTCTCTCTTCCACCCCCTCCATGAAAGTGCGCACCGCAGAATCTAAAGAGAAACAGCCCAAAAAGCGCCCCCACTCTCCACCTCATGACCACGAGGCGGGCGCCATTTTAAATTGACCGGATAAATCACGAACCCCGGAGGAGACCGGGAGAGGCTGCAGGGCGGCTATCGCTGCTTCCATAAGCCAAGGCATGAGCTCAGATATATGCATGGCAATCCCATGCACACAAGGAACCGGAGCAGGGTGTACCTCTCAGACGGAGTCCACTCCCGACGTAACAGTGAGTAACTCCGGCAAAGACGCGAGTGGGATATTAACGCCTGAGGTGATGCAGTTCCTAGGACAAGCCATGAGGGAGGAGGTGGCCGCCATTCACTGTGTTCCCCCCCCCCACAGGCCTTTTGCACAGAGCATTCTCATACGCATGCTAGCCACTGTACACAGGGAGCCCTAACAGACTCATACCTCGAGTCTGAGAGACCACGCTGGCCATCTAAGGCAGCCAGAAAGGAACATCATTGTTTTAATAGGGAAGACATGGCTTGGGACATTTCCCAAATGGGTGATAGTGAAGTAGAGGATAGAGAAGAGGGAGAATTTTTCTCTGATGAGGAGGGAGAAGAAAAGGAGATGGAGGTTCCTGAACCTTCAATGAGATTTTTCAAAGCAGAGGACTACCAATACCTCTTAAAAAAGACTATGTCAGCCCTAGATCTTATTCCTAAACCGAAGTCAGAGGGCAACGATAACTCAACACAATCAGATGAATCTAGACCCAGGGGTAGCAAAGACTATTTTCCCAGAGCCCCGGGTTTTGAAAAGGTTTTTCCCTTCCCTGAGTTTCTGGAGAAGCAACTAGTCAAAGAATGGGCTAAACCCATGGCAAATAAACAATGTCCTTCCAATGTTAAAAAATTATATACCTTGCCTAACTTTACTGACAAGCTTTTACAGGTCCCCCTAGTGGATGCACCTATTGCTGCACTCCAAACGTCTGGCCTACTTTCAGAGGACGGAGAAGGTTCAGTCAAAGACTCCCTGGACCGAAAGGCAGACTTCGCGCTACGAAAGGCCCATGAGGCCACAGCAATGGCCATCAGAGCAGCAGCCACGGCTACAGTGGTGGCCAGAGCCTCCATTGCCTGGTCCAAAAAGATGATCCAACTTATTCCTGAATCCAGCAAAAGAATGGCTGAGGGGGCCAATAGACTGCTTCAGGCTTCTTCATTTTCCGCTGACGCCACCTTAGATGCGATGGTGTTTTCTTCCAGAGCTCTGGCTTCTACAGTGGCTGCTTGAAGAACCCTATGGCTGAGGGCCTGGCAAGCTGACTTACATGCAAAAGGCATTGTTGCGGCATACCCTTTCCAAGGAGACAGACTCTTTGGTGATGCGCTGGACAAAGTCCTTATTGAGACAAGGGACAAAAAGAAAGCTATGCCAAGATCCTTAGGTAGATCAGACCGCAGGGGTCCAACAAAATTTTCCTTTCGAGGCCAGAGGTCGTCCTTTCGCTTCAACAGGGAAGGCAGACGTCCTTCTTGGGGACCGTCCAGACAGTCCTTCAGAAGAAACACATTCTCCAACAGACCAGGCAGATCCTTTCCCCCCAGGGAGGACAAATCTGGCAGAGACTTCAAAAATACCAAGGCATGACTATCGACCTGCACCTGTAGGGGGTCGGCTCCTTCTTTTCCAATAAGCGTGGGCCGACTTAGCAGCAGACACGTGGTCGCAGGAAATCACGTGCAAAGGGTATTCCATAGAGTTTCTATTCAGACCCCCGAATAGTTTTCTTATCTCTCCATCAATAAAAGATGCCGCCAAACTGTCAAAAACTGTAGAAGCCATCCATCACTTGCTCAACATTCAAGCAATCGAACCTGTACCAGTGGAAGAGCGGGGTCACGGAGTCTACTCCATATTCTTCACAGTGCCCAAAAGAAATGGCAGCTGGAGGGCGATCCTGGATTTAAAATTTCTAAACAGACATGTTCGACTGTGACGCTTTCATATGGAAACCCTTCGGTCCATAACAGAGTCCCTTCACCCAGAAGAGTTTATGATGTCCATCAACCTTACCGAAGCGTATTTACATGTACCAATTTTCACAGGTCACAGACGTTTCCTTCGATTTTGTGTCCAGGGTCAGCACTGGCAATTCAGAGCCCTTCCCTTCGGGTTGTCAACGGCCCCAAGAGTCTTCTCCAAGATGTTGATCCATCCTATCGTCCATCTGAGGGAGAAGGGAATACACGTCCATCCGTACCTGGACGACCTCCTGATCCGTTATCCTTCGTACGCCAAGTCGATAGCGGACACCGAAACAACTATCCACTGTCTACAAGCCCATGGTTTCCTGGTAAACCTACAAAAGAGCTGTTTAATCCCATCTCAGTCAATAGATCACCTGGGAGCCATTCTGGACACATCACACAACTCTCTATTCCTACTCAGACCCAAGGCGGAGAAAATCAGAGATCTCTGCAAACAAATCCTCAAAAGCAGACTATCTACTCTAATGACCCTGGCCAAGCTGATGGGACTATTCATCTCTTGCATAGACACTGTCCAGTGGGCTCGTCTTCATGCGCGACCACTTCAACAGTTCCTGAGGCCATTTCAGCTCAGAATTATGAAACGCCACGACGTTCTCCTATCCTTACCATTCAAGGTGAAACACAGCCTCTTATGGTGGACCAAAATTCACCACCTTCTCCGAGGCCATGTTTTCTACGTGACAGAATGGAAACAAGTTCTCACGGATGCCAGCCTCCAAGGTTGGGGTGCAGTCTATCACAATCAACCGATCCAGGGCACATGGTCCACGGAGGAGAGCAGATTACCGATAAACGTTCTGGAACTGAGAGCCATCAGACTGGCCCTGTTGCACTTTCAACCCCAGCTAAGAGGACATCACGTCCTCATCAGGACGGACAACATCGCAGCCAAATCTTACATAAACCACCAGGGAGGCTCGCGATCCCCTCGTCTATGACACGAGGCCGCAACTCTTTTTCTCTGGGCAGAGTCCAATCTGGCCTCCATCCAGGCAGATCACATAAAGGGAACCTTAAACTCACAGGCAGACTGGCTCAGCCGGTTCCATCTCCAGGAAGCGGAGTGGTCACTCAAACGGGACCTGTTCCTTCTCATAGTGGAATCATTCGGAATGCCAGATGTCGATCTATTCGCTTCGACACGCAACTTCCAGGTGCTTCTACACCAGGTTCCATCATCCCACGGCAGAGGGAACGGATGCGCTAACGTCCATTTGGCCCCCGGGATTGATGTTCGCCTATCCACCAACCCCAGTCATTCCCAGGCTGCTGAGGAAGATACGGGAACACAGAGCGGAAATCATCCTAGTGGCTCCTCGCTGGCCCAGGAGACCGTGGTTTTCAGAAATTCAAGTCCTAGTGATACTTCCTCCCCTCCGACTACCTGTATCTCCGGACATGCTTTCTCAGGGACCAATCTGGCACCCGGATCCAGATTGGCTTCACTTGACCGCGTGGAGATTGAGAGGGGTAAGCTTCTCCAACTAGGTTATCCAGAGAAGGTGACTAACACTGTTTTGGCGTCCAGGAAGCAGTCCACCTGTAGAATATATAATACCACTTGGAAAGCCTTCGTTCGCTGGGCCAGGAGGAAATCGGTGGATCCTATTCAGCCTCGCTTCAGGGACGTCCTGTCCTTCCTGCAGGATGGCCACGACTCCGGACTGAAGGCGTCGGCTCTTAAAAGACAAGTAGCGACGCTTTCTACAGTGTTACCTTCGGTAAAAGGCTGGACCCTCTCAAGACATCCACTTCAGGACCCTTCAGGACCCTCCAGTGTCTCACAGGTTTCCTTCTTGGAGTTTGAATGTGGTCCTTAATGCTCTGACCAAGTCTCCTTTCGAACCAATCAAAGAAGTTCTGTTGAGATGGCTTAGAATGAAAACTCTCTTTTTGGTAGCCGTCACGTCAGCACGCAGGGTCTCAGAGCTGGGAGCGCTGTCCGCTGACCCCGTCTATGTGTCTTTCATAAGGACAAAGTGGTTCTGATGCCAGATCCCACCTTCCGACCAAAGGTTAATTCCAGATTCCATCAATCACAGGAAATCTGCCTTCCTTCCTTTTGCCCAAAGCCTTCCCACCAACAGGAACGGATCTGGCACACCCGAGACGTCCGTAGGGCGTTGAAAGTTTTCCTCCATCGCACTAGAGTCTTCAGGAAGTCTGAGTCCCTATTTATTTCGATTTCACCTCCTAACAAGGGAGGCAAGATGTCTACGTCGTCCATCAGTGCCACACTTAAAGACTGTATCGTGGAGGCGTATAGGGCGCAGAAAATATCACCTCCTTCAGGCATTACAGTTCACTCCATTCGAAGCGCAGTGACTAACACGGCTCTGAAGAACAGGGCTTCAGTAGAAGAGATTTGCAAAGCCGCCATGTGGTCCTCGTTATCTACTTTCATCCGGCATTATAAGATAAACGTCTTAGATTCAGCAGATGCTGCATTTGGCCGAAGAGTTCTTCAGGAAATTTTGACGCACAAAGACGATGACCCTCCCAAGTAACATGGACACTGCTATAGGAGGTCCCAACAAGATGTCCTCCACTCAGTGGGAGAATGGACAATTGGTACTTACCGTGAAGAGTCCTTCTTCACTGAGATAAGGAGGACATCTTGGGCCCTCCCTTCTCATCGTCTTACTTGTGCCTTTCTACTAACCTTTTATTCTGTCTTTGGCTCAGGGTAGCTCTTCCTGTCCTCACTTATCCTTATCTGTCAATACCTGTTGACCTGGGTCTTGTTGTTCTTTGAAGTTAATGCAGTTAATAATAATATGGTTCTGGGGGGCTTCCGGTGGCAGGGAAACAACATGGCCGCCTAAACCTGTAGCTCCTCTCAACCCTCTGATCCTCTCAATCCTCACAACGATCAAAAAAGGCATAAAGTGTCTCAATCTATGGAGGCTGACTCAGAAAACGCAGGGCATCTCAACAAACCGAAATTTAAAAAAATACAAACAACGATTGCGTTTCAACCATCAAATCCAAAATCGGGCCCATCTCACACTGATAAAGGCACAATGGCGACCGGAGGAGAAGAACCTAATAATCCAGAGGCCCTGGTAACACACGCGACATCAATGAAAGAAATGGCACACTTGGAAAAATCTATTTTTGATAACATGTCTTTATTTTTCAAACCGTTTTATGCGCAAATGGAAGGGATGCAGAAAGATCTGACAGAAACGAAAGCAATAGCCACCAAAGCGCTCAATACTAGCACTAAGGTACAACAAGAATTCCAGCAACTTCAACTTTTAGAAGATGTCCTGGCTGAAAAAGCAATCAGAACTGACATGACTCTCCGGCAAAACAACCTGAAGGTGAGAGGGATAAATGAAAAAATAGGCAAAAAAGGTGACCTGGCAGAATTACTAACTGACTGGCTAAAAAATGCCGTTCCACCAACAGGCAATATCTCCCCGATAATAACGAAAGCTTATAGAGCTGGGCCACCTTCCCTGCTAAAAACGAGACCGTCCCGTGACATTATAGTAACTTTTATAGACTTACGTTACAGAAAAATGGTTCTAAACACAGCGAGACAAACGGGACATCTTAACCACGAAACAACAAAAATAGAAATTTTTCCGGACTTACCGAAGGAAGCTCTTTTAAAAAGACGTGAACTCAAGCCACTAACAAACAGACTTGCAGAAGAAAATATAAGATATAGCTGGGTAGCACCACTGATCTTGCAGTTCGCGTACAAAGGGAAAACCCACAGAATTGCCAGCAAAGAAGAAGGTTTTAAAGTCCTCGGTTCCCTCGATTTAATTACACCAATGGAGCTAATGCGTTTGAAAGTTCGCTCATCTGTTGCTTTTAAAGTTAAAGCCCCATGGGCTAAAAGTTGATTCTCTCACAGTTGCAGGACTTCATTGCAGTCAGTTATAATAAAGCGCCTAGTTCATGAATTTAAAAATGAATTTACAGTTTTGTA